TTGTCTTCAGAATGAAATTGGATGCCACATTCCATGCCAATGCACCTTTCAGACCTTTAATGCTTTGTCAATAATCTATCCATTAATTTGTCCATCAAAAATCCCTAACAAGCATTTCATGAGCAATGAAAGCACTAAAACCAACTTTGTGCTCTGAAAGTGGAAATTCATTGCATTTCAAATTATAGTTGGTCTAGCATACTGCTGATGTATATTAATTATAAAAATTATTATTATTATTATTTAGAGGAAGGGTCTTGCTTTGTAGTGCAGGCTAGAGTGCAGTGGCACAATCATAACTCATTGTAGCTTCAAACTCCTGGGCCCAAGTGATCCTCCCACCTCAGCCTCCTAAGTAGCCTGAGTAGTCCTCCTAAGTAGGACTACAGGTGTGAGTCACCATACTTGGCTAATTTTTAAAAATTCTCTGTAGAGATGGGATTGCACTATATTGTCCAGGCTGGTCTTGAACTCCTGGTTTCAAGTGGTCCCCCCATCTTGGCCTCCCAAAGTGCTGGGATTTCAAGCATGAGCCACCAGGCTTGGCTCGATTTTAATTATTTTTTAATGCAGTTGGGATAAAGTGACGGAAGTAGAACTGTATTTGTTTTGTTTTATTTCAGTTTCTACAACTCTAACCTTGTGGCAATCCAAACTCAATTTTACTGCTTTGTATGTACTTTCATAGCAGTATTGAGATGATTTTCTTCCAACTTGAACAGATAGGTTATACAGAGAAGAGCTTCCCAACTCATGCAGCAAGGCACAATAGATTACAGGCCTTTGAGATTCTGTTTCTCCCTGACTTTGGGGCTGGCCTTGTAAGACTTAGGGGATTCACACATGGTTGCCAACAGGCAGGAAAATCCTCAATTGTTTATTCCAGCTTGCCTGTAAATCTTATTTTGAAGTGTTATGAGAAAAGTCATAAAACAATACTACCAACTACAGTAAAGGTTTGCTTACTTTGCACAATCAATATAGATTTGTATCCATTTTCCAGATAAAGCAGATAGCTGATATTGAAAATATATGCCCTTAGACTAAGAATCTTGGAATTTGTGACTATCACTGCAGTATGCAATTTTTTTCTTAATAAAATGTAATAAAATTTAACGGAAAAATTTAAGCAATCAATGAGTCAATAAATAAATGACTAAAGATAGTTTTAAAGCTATTAAATACATTGTGATGAAACATCCAGTAAAACAGTATTATAAATCTCCACATACACACATCACATTTCCATATAGAGCTAATCTGAATTATGCCCAAATGGAACATTTCACTTCTTAAGTTACCTAAGGTCTTTCTCTTTCCTGGATAATAACCTAATATAATTTTCTTGACTTTTTCTATTGCCAGAATTAACAGTTGGCTTTCTTTTCCACACGTTTTCTCCCTGTAGAACCAGTTTTTCACCACTGCATAAGTTATTACATATATGATGGCTACCAGAAAGCTATGTTACCTGTAGGTAGTAGCAGGTAGTAGGAAAGTCTCTTATCAATATCGACATGACTGATTTCTGCACATCACTTTGGTGGGATACAATTAAAAACTATGGCTCAACAAACTGAATCTGTTATGGTTCTCCAGATATGCTAAACAATGCAAATGCTAAACCTTCCAATGAAAATCATCTACTGCACTGAATTTTCTCTATGGAAACATTTTTCTTTACCTACTAGTAAAACAGAAATGCCTTTTTGTTTTGTATTGTTTGGCCTGGAGTTTCAGCTGTTGAAGCTATGAGAAAAAGCTATGTTTGTAAAGAGAAATTAAAAACTGTTCTTTATTATATATGTTACTGAATCCACTAATGGGGTAATCAAATAAAGTGTCCTCCAGGGGTGAAATGAAAGAACAGTCCATATGCCAATCTATTTATCTCTTCAGTCTACCTCTGATCACACTCTACCTTTTCCTGTCTGCAGACTTGGTTTGTGTGCAGGTCAAATTACCTCCTAATTTAAAAAATATTTTTGCCCTGGCAGGGTATAGTACTATGACCAACAACTGGGTTATTAGTCACCTCCCCTTTAACACCATCCCTTGAGACATAATACAAAAGCAGTATTTACCTGATCTTATTGTTCATAGAAGAAAATCATCTACATGAGTTACAGCTACACACAAAGAAAGATGCACTTCATCCATACATATGAAAACAGAACTGCCAGACTTCACATTATTGTTTACTTAATGCCCTTTTCAAAAAAAAATTGTCAAACCAATAATAAATCTTATACTTAAGCAGTACATCTTGGATAAAATGAGGTACATAAATCAGACCTTGAGAATTTAAGATATTTTTCATCTTTTATGGTTTTAAGAAAGCTTTATCTTTGATTTATGTTCAATTGTCAATAGTTCTTCACTGTTTAACTTTAGGGTTTCTGAATCACTCACTATCTATACTCCCACTACTGCTAAGCTAAAGTAGTTAATGATTTGTAAAACACTTGTGTGCTTAAAGGTCATCAAAGACTTTTAAAAAATATGTCCAGCCCTAAAACAAACCCTTTATTTTACAAATGTAGCTTTCATTTACAGTTACTTTTAACAACAAAAAAGCACAGCAATATGTATATGATCAAAGGCAGAATTCCCTATAAGTAATAGTAAGAATAGCTACTATTCATTATTTAGACAGTAAAATCATAATTTTATAAGCATTAATGGTCAGCTTATAAATAAACCTTTCCGGTATGTATTGCATTCCTAATTTACCAGATGAGTTAACTGAGGATTTAGAGTCTTTGATAATATAAGTCTAAGTGATTCAATTTCAGAGAGGAGAGAAGAAATTGGAATCCAGATATATATGGAGGGAAAGTCTATGGTTTTTGTTTTCATATTGTGTTTGCTCATTTGCCCATTTTGTACCATTTTCAGACCCAGGAAGTTATATATCTCAGAGGCTCATGTCTCACTTGTGACAGCTTTGTGGGTTTTGATCTGTTTCCTCTTCTGATGTCAAGGCATCCTTGCCCAGTGTGCAGTGAGGGCAGAGAGGGGATCACTCTTTCATGTGACTCTCTGAAATGAGTCTAGGTAGAATAAATCAGTTCACCTATCTTCCAGGCAGTGCAGCCCAAACCTGGTACTGTTCACTTAAAAATGCTTGCAAATAAACAGTATTGGAACAGGAGTAATGGGTCGAAACAAGTCTGGCACTTTGTTCGCCTTCCTTGTCTATTCTTTTCTTAAACTTGGACACAGAGCACTTAATAAGCATCTGCTGTGTGCTAGTCAACTTGCTAAGTGCTGTGGGTCATGAGTACAGTACAAGGAAGAATAAATAACAGTGAAAACTATTTTAGAGATAGAGCTGTGCAGGACACAATCAGAAGTTCTCTTAATTCCTACCCCCTGCCTGGTGTTAGTTTGCTAGGGTTACCATAACAAAATGGCTTAAACAACAGAATTATTATTTTTTTTTTCCCAAAAAATATCTTGAGGCTGAAATTTTAGGATCATGGTGTTGGCAGGATTGTTGTTTTCTTCTGAAGCTTCTCCTCTTGGCTTGGAGACCGGACAGGTGCCTTCTTACTGTGCCTCCACAGGGCCTTTACTTTGTGTGTGCCAACCCTAGTGTCCCTGATAAGGGGGCCAGCCTAATTGGATTAGGGTCTCACCTTTCTGACTTCCTACAGAACTTAATTACCTCTTTAAACGCCTTATTTCCAAATACAGTAACTTTGGGGTTAGGGGTTCAACATATGAACTTTGGGAAACACAACCCACCCATAACAATAACCATTACATAAATGTCTGTAATGTGCAGTGGAAATAAGCCAAAGTGAGTCAGATACCACATTCATGGAGTTAGGAGCATGGATGCTTCAGCCAGCTTGGGTTCAAATCCCAAGTCTGCTACTTCTTAATTGTATAATCATTGGTGAAATTTCATAATATTAGTGCTTCATTGGTCAACCTGTTAAACCAGACAATAAGAGTACCCACCTCCTGGGGTTAACGTCAATTGCTTTATATCTCTCATGTTAGTAAGCTGAAATAAAAGTTGGCTGTTAGTGGTGGCTCAGTGGTTTTAAAGATGGTGCTACTCCTGTTTCTCCTCTAGATATAATGTAATAGGAACTGTCAGAATAAAAGGTGAGAGAAAAAACAGAGGAAATCAAATTCTTTAATTAAAAGATATTAACATACACCAAGTTTTCTTAATGATAATCATTTATTATAATGTGAAGATAGGTACCATACAGAAAGACACTCGGATTCCTAAATTTGCAGCTTAATTAATTATTTTTACAAATCTTTGCTGAGCACTTATTGCTTGTCAGAAAGCGTTCCTGGTATTTTGGAGACAGCAGGGAACCAAACAGGAATTGCTGTTCTAGTGAAGCTTACATTCCAGAATGGATACATATCACCTCCACATTTAACCCTTCAGAAATTGGAGAAAATAAGACACACCGAATAGAAACTTTATAAAAAAGTCAACTGACAGCGTCATACAGCAAGTTAATATTAATTTGCTACCGAGTAGCCAGGAAAAAAAAAAAAAAAAAAAAAAAAGTGCACAGGACCCATGCTAACGCTGGGGCCATCAGAAGGGCTTCCCGAAAGGCCGCCCTGATCCCTGCGATGCAGGTTTGGGCTTTTCTTACCCTGCGTCCAGGCACCAGGACCAACGTCCCGCCCTGCCCGGCGCTGCGCGTGGAGCGGGAGGGAGCCCGGCCCTTGCGTCGGTCCCGGCTGCGGGTTCGCGGCCAGCCTCGGCCGCGCGTCTCCCCGCCCGCCGCGAGGCCACACCGGGGCGGGGTTCGAAGCAGCGCCGCGCGCCTGGAGGCGGAGGCCCGGAGGTCCTGCCTTTGCCCCGCGGCCGGCGGCCCGACCGGCAGGTGTCTGGTCCCGGCGCGGCGCTTGCCCAGCGCGCGGGTGACTTTGCCTTCTGCCGGGTGAGGCCCGGCCCGCGTCACCAGTGTGACAGCCTCTCACCCAATCAGAGAGCGGCGCTCCCGGGAACGCTGGGCGTCACCGGGGCTCCGGTGGATTAGAACTCGCCTCCCCTAGCTCCTCCCCTCAGTCCCATTTAAAGCTCCCACGGGTTTTACTGAAAAATTGAGTGGGCTCAGTTTCTGCAGCGCTTTCTTCCACTGCAAGATGGTAAGTGAGGAACTGGCGTTAGCGAGTCCGCTGGCGAAACTTGGGTCTCTGAAAGTTAGTAAGCTTTGCATCTGGAATTTATTACACCTTGGGAGCAAGATTTTTCTGCTACCTGCAGTTAAACAGATCCTCTCTGTTGCCCTGTCTCTCTTTCAGAATCCTTTATCCTTTATCTGCTTTCTCTATCTGCATTCTCTATCTGCTTTCTCTATCTGCTCTCTCCCTTTCTCTCCCACTACCTCCTTCCCTCCCTCCCTCTCTCTCCTCTCTCTCTTTCCTGCTATCTGCTCTCTATCTGCTTTCTTTCTCTCTCTCTCCCTCTGTTATTTCTACTTTCCTTACTTTCTCCCCAGTTTCTCCCTCCACCTGCACTCACTGTTCATTCCACCTCTTCCTCTAGATTCTGTATATATTTGGAAACACTTGGACATGAATTTGTCTAGGAGTATTCGGGGTTTGTTTCTTCTCAGGTATCAATTGCATAATAGCGTAGCTCTGATTCCAATAAGAACCTCAGGGAAGGAGTCTGCAAACATGCTTTTAAAATAAAAGAAAATTGTGCTTGATAAACTTTTGGCTGGATTTCTTTGGTCTGCACTGCCCAAGCTAGACTTGCTTCAGAACTGGAATTTTTCAAGACTTAATTTACTGAGAACATTAACAAAGTGTGATTGAATTGACTTAATTTTTTTTTTCTTTTTCTCCTTCTTATTTGTTTTCTCTCTGTTTATGTTAATGCCCAAAGAAGCCTTCAAATCAACAAAAGACTGTAGTATACAAAAAGAGTTTTCCCAAAGCTGCGCCTTGCTAAAATGAATGGCTTTTACCTGATTAAACATTGACAAGTAATTTAAAATTGGTGTCTTACAAATTAACCCAGGAAGGCTGCGTACCTGCCCCTGCTCGGACATTTGGAAAGAATGTGTGTTTGAGGTTTGAGAAGTGGAGGAATGTTCGCTGGATGAGAAACGGTGGAGAATACACGCCAGTTAGTGGCAAGATAACTTTGGAGGGGCATTGATTCCTAGTACTGGACAGAACTACAGCTTGCTGTCTTTGCTAATGAACTTCTTTCAGCTTTGATTGTACGTTTACTCGGAGTGACTTTATGCTCCTGTGATTAGGGTTGGGAGCAAAATTTTAAAATAATCTTAGCTAACAAGCTAGATAGACTATAAGCCAGCCGCATGTCAGAGGGAGGAGAAAGGGAAGAATGAGACAAGTATGGTTCAGAAACTAAAATGAAGAGGTTAGTCTATATTATGTCGTATCCATTTCAGCTTTGGCATTCTGCACTCTTTGTCCTTCAGGAGTTTTAGAAATATAATTAAGGTATTTGCTAGAGAGAACCAAATAATTCTTATGTTTTTGAATCATTAAGTAGAATTCTCTTGACTGAGAGCTTGGGTCGCCTATTAGATGAGCTAGGCATTGCAACAGAGAATACAACCTGGATATGTACAGATTTCATCCATTCAATACTAGCCTGTTCTTTGCTCAGAGGGCTTAAGGGAAATTCCGGGTAAACCAAGAAACACATTCTCTCTTAGTAATTACAATGTGGCCATCCCAAAATTAATATGGATCTATATTTAAATACCTTTACTGATTTTTTTTTCTTTATAATTCACTGCATGTAATTTCGGTATTTCTCCCACCCTTTTTCCCTTCTAAATCTCCATCACCCCATCTCCTGGGACCCCTCACTCCCTCCCATACTGAATTTCACAGAACACCATTCTGCCTTGCCAAGACCAGTACTTTGTAGGAGGCCAGAGCTATAATTGCCCGTATTCCACTACAACGTCAGAATCTAGTGTTGACGTTTCCACGGAGACTTGGGTCTCTTTCTGGGCTGCTGGTCTCCTGGACAACAGAGAGCTCCAACAAGCACCACAGACACAGGGTAAGTTCTGCTCTTCTGCTTCCCTGAGCGGTCTGGAGCCCTTTTCCATACTCATGCCTGCAGAGCATCCTGGGCTAGGGCTCTAGAACAAGGGGCGATATGGAAAATTTAAGTAAACCCAAGGACTCCTGATTTTTACAGCCATAAAGCCTACTGTTTTGTACGTGCCAAGTAATGAAAATGGGAGATTCCTTACCTTCCCACTGGATAGCATGTATTTCTCCCTACACTTTACGGTTCTTGGAGAGTCCCATCTCACTAAGGGAGTCTGGGTCTGGATCAGAGTTTCATAAACAACACACCAGCAGACTGTTTTTGGAATGAGGATACCAGTTGGAACATTTCCTTTGGAATTCAGGAAAGTTTCCCTGAGTTTGAGAGAAGAGCAAGAAATACTAACTTAGTCTTTTATTTCATAGAGGAAGTTCCATGGACATTGTCTTAGAAGTGGAAAAAAGGATTCCCTTTTATACACACACAAAAAAAGGCATCAGCTTTGGAGAGAAGTATAGCATTGATGTAAAATCACATATAATTTTGATCTGTGGCTTACTAGCCATATTTATATATATGAAAGAAATATCTGTGTTAAACACTCAAGTTTCTTGAAGAACTCTCAGACACCCCAGAATTAAATATCCATACTGTTGGTTCTGCTGCATGATTTGTTTGATTTTTTTTTCAAAGACACAAACAAAGGAAAGCAAAATATTAAAAGCACATTTAAATGTCAGGGAGGAAGTTGTTGGGTTTTAGCTTTCCACTACAAGCAACAGTAGAAACAAAATGTCCAAAAATGTGAACTCAAACTGCTTTTGCCATTTTATTCCTGTTTCCTTATTCATCATTTCACTTTAATAAAAAAGAAAAACACAAAAAGCGTAAATACTTTTTTTACAAAACAACTACAGTTTCAGAAAATAAGCAGGGAAAGCATGTTGCCACAAGAGGTTCCCACATCATATATAATGTATCTATTTTTCCATTATATATAATAAAGAATGTTGGGCTAGATGCTGTGGCTCATGCCTGTAATCTCAGTATCAACAGTATAACTAGAGCAGAGCAAGAGTCAAAAGTAACCTAGATGAAGAAAAGAAAGTAAAAATAAACCAGGGTAGTATGACCAACCATAGTTTTTTATTGATAGATAGAGCTAACTGTCAAATATGGGGGGAAAAGCACTTTGGAATAAACACTTTAAAATACACAGATTAGAACAGTTGAAACAGATAAGGCTTGAGTACAGTTTTGAGATTTTCGTTAAGGTCTTCAGAGAAGCAATGTCCAAATTGTTTTAAAGTAGGAAGTGCTACCACGTGCAATTCTGAATAAATACAGTCCATTAGATTTGAAACAGGCAGGCAGACAGGCAGAGAAACTGGTAGCATCACAGACCAGGATTTAATACTGTAGAGCCAAACAGTATATTATCAAGTGCTAAAGCTTAGAAAATAAGCTAAAACCTAGAAGAATATAATGCAGTTGCAATGTTATGCCCAGTGTTGGGGAGAGATCAGTAAGTATTTGAACAAATTAGTGAAAAGACTGGACGGTTTTTATTAATTTTTCCAGCAGAAATACATATATTAGGCAAGAATGTGACCCCTTACCACTTAAAAACGTACTTCTTTAATACTTTTGGCATATAGTGTATAAATATTTGTCTCTCACAGCTTGCTTGCCTTTTCTAAAAACTTTAAATGTTTTGTTTTCCTCTGTGGCAGCAGTAGCTGTTTAAGAAAAATAATTGAACCTATTAAACTTTCTGATTTGATTTGATGAGTTTCTTTATTGCACAGAAACTACAAGATTATTTTGTCAGTTATCTACTTATATTTTCACAGAATCATTCAGTGACTCAGATTTTCCTCTTCCGGACTTGTGCTCATGGGAAGAGGCTCAGCTCTCCTCTCAGCTCTACAGAAACAAACAGGTATGCACAAGTCAGAACATTGAGACTGGTCATGTTCTGTGTGACCTATTCTCTACTGTTCATGTCTTGCTTTTTTTCTTTCTGGAAATTCATGCTGACTTAGTTAAGAACCAAAGTGAGTGTGTGTCCACAGAGAGATCAAAGTTATATGATCAATGTCACAGAAAAGAAAAACAACCAAGACCTCTAGAAAGGCCTGCAGTCAGGCTTTCACTTTACACATTTTAGCCATATGACCTCGAATTCTTTTCTTTTTTCTCATTTATGGAATGCGATCTTTTTTTCCTCTTTTTTTTTTTAATTGCACTTTAGATTCTGGGGTACATGTGCAGATCATGTAGGGTTGTTGCATAGGTACTTACATGGCAAGGTGGTTTGCTGCCTCCGTCCCCCCTCACCTGTATCTGGCATTTCTTCCCATGTTATCCCTCCCCAATCTCCCGTCCCCTAGACCCCCACAACAGACCCCAGTGTATGATGCTTTCCTCCCTGTGTTCATGTGTCCTCATTGTTGAACACCCACCTATAAGTGAGAACATGTGGTGTTTGATTTTCTGTTTTTATGTCAGTTTGCTGAGAATGATGGTTTCCAGATTCATCCATGTCCCTAGAAAGGATGTGAACTCATCATTTTTCATAGCTGCATAGTATTCCATGGTGTATATGTGCCACATTTTCCCTGTCCAGTCTATCATTGATGGTCATTTGTGTTGGTTCCACATCTTTGCTATTGTAAACAGTGCCACAATGAACATACGTGTGCATGTGTCTTTATAATAGAACGATTTATAATCCTGGAATTGTCATCTTCTTGCTGCTTATTTCAGAGGGCATTTGAAAAGATCAAATGATATAATGAGTGTGACAGTACTTTTAAACAATAAACATAGTTAATACTTGGAGAAGTGATAGTGATTACAAAATATTTTCCAAAGATCGTTTTTTTAATGTTGTGTTTGTTTTGCCCTGAAGTGTAATTTAATTTAGTGGACATACAGACAGATCAATCTGAGGCAGAAAGAAGCCAACCTACGTCTATTTTTATTTATTTATTTTAAAATGCAAGGAAGGAGTCCAGCAAAATCTTCCTAAACATCATTTTATATATTTAAACAGTTGCATGCAGTTCATTTTTCTTCATATCTACCTGATTCCCTTGTGCTTACAATTTAAAAAATCTATTATAATCTCTCCAAATGCTTTGCAATGAATGGAAATTCAGAGCACAAAGCTGAAGAATTAGGTGTTAGAGGATATAAGTTTAATTCAGGCCTCTCAGATGAGGGGTTCCTGAGATTGTGCCCATACAACAAACAATAATCAAGTTTAAGGTAGTTAAGCATCAGTGGCATTATTATAAAGTTACACAGTCAGTATAGTGGAGCAGCCTTCACCATTGCCTACTTTTTGCAGCTGCAAGATACTCTGGTGCAAAAAGAAGAAGAACTTGCTAGATTACATGAAGAGAATAATCACCTCAGACAATACCTGAATTCTGCTTTGGTTAAATGTCTTGAAGAAAAGGCCAAGGTATGTATGTATCTAGTTTATAAGAACAGGCAGTGATTTGAAAAAGGAAATGATTTCTGTAAAACTCCTTGATTAAACAGTGTATCTTGATATGCATTTATAGGTTGGATGGTTTTTCTTGAGGAAATATGGCTTTTTTCACAATAATTTTTGTATATCTTTTCTCTAAAGTACCTCGATTGCAGATGTCAGTTATTTATTATAAAATAAGAAGCTTAAAAAGCAAAAGCTAATCAGGGTGGGGGTTGCTGAGACAATCAGGGTTAATCAAAAGGTAGAATTAGATGGATGGAATGCTGGTATGGGAAGCAGATCAGAAAGACACTCAGTTCTTTTAATTATCTGTTTGACTTTAGACAAATCACTCTTACTTAGATCCTCATTCAACTTCACTTGTAATGGATGGGCTAAAATATCTTTTAAGAATTTTGCTAGATCTAAAATGTCATGAATATTGCTGGAGACTAAATCTCTTGATTTGGCATTTACAAATTACATCTGGCAATTAGGCATATACAATTACATTATCGTTTAATTCACATTTTTTCTATACTTTTAAAATGAGCTATTTCTAACTCAAGGTTAAATAACTTGCCTATAGTCCTTTTTTGTTCGTCTTCAGTTCTTTGGCTTTGCTATTTTTTTTTTATCTATTTGACATTATGTTATCACTAATGCTTTAATCATCAATCTTTTCCTTACTTCTAGACAAGCTACATTATCTGATATTATTTGATCTAAATTCATTATGCTTCTTGCTACTCTTGCTAAATAGAGCAGTTCAGAGAATAAGAAAAGACACTAGATTTGATGGCCTTACAATTCAGTTGCCTTTGTTAAAAAGAGAATACATCGTAGTTATTAGCCTGCGCTCCTAATTCCGTCCACCATTCCATAAAAGGACACTTATTAATATTATTAAGTGATATTAACTAGGCAGTTTTATCTGTTGGTTTCAATTTTCCAGGATTTAGAATAACATAATAATATATCTCAGAAGTGCTTTGAAAGTTAATTAAATAAGAAGAAGCAGTGTTGTATAGTGTTTAATCAGAGGATCTCTCTAGATTCAGATGGCTTAGGTTTATGTCTAAGCTCAGTCATTCTCAGCAAGTTATTAATATGTCTGTGCTTTAGTTTGCTCACTAATGAAGATTTTAGTAACATCCATATCCAGTGAGATAATACATCTAATCAACAATTTATAAATTATAGTGAATGATAGTTTATTTATAAATGATAACTTAATAAATGATAATTGCTATTATGGTCTTGATAAGAGTAACTTGCCTGTACTGAAATCTTAAAAATATCATCTGGTCCTCTCAACATTTAAAAAATATTGAGTAAAAAAATATGATTTAGAGTTTTTAGGCAGTAACTTGTCATCATAGATTTTACTTTACAAATAAGCTAATCCAATCGGTCTTACTTGCATGTGAAGAGAAACTTAATCATTTTTTCTAAATAATTTAGGTAAGTAGTAAATATATGAAAGAGGTATAACTTTCAAATATCACTTCCTTAGAAATTGCTCTCCTCTGATGAGTTCTTCAAAGCATGTGGAAAATTCAGAAAGAGAAAGAGAAAATCCAAAGAGCAAAGATACTCTCCTGCTGAGATTCCTCATCCCAAAAATACCAAAAGAAACGTCTCTGGTGAATTTTCTAACTGTGGAGAACAACCTGGGCCCCCTGTGGATCCCTGGGTCCTTCAAACACTTGGATTGAAAGACCTTGATACCATTGATGACACCTTATCAGCTAACTACAGTGCCCTCTCATCTCGTCCCAGAAGATTTGCCAGCACATTTTCCCAGTTTTCGGATGATGCAGTTGATTATAAAAATGTTCCCAGAGAGGATGTCTCAATTGACTGCAGAGGTGACAGAACAACCCCCTTGCACAGCACTGCTACTCATGGAGAAGATTTCCACGTCCTTTCTCAACTTTCAAATTCTCCAGCGGGGCTGAAAACTCTACCTTACTATACTGCTAATGTGTCACCCAACAAGACAGAGATGGCATTTTCCACATCCCTGAGCCCTCATTGTAATGTGAAAACTCATTCCTTCCACCAGGGACAAGCCTTTGTGCGTCGAGATGAGGAGGGAGGCTGGAAGTTTACCTGGGTCCCTAAGCAGTCTTAGTGACCCCTCTTTTATCACAAAGCACTGCCATGAACTCTGTTTACAAAGACCTCTCTTGCACTTGAATTTGACTATGTGGAACAGAGAAGCTATTGCTTAGACTGTCTCCTGCCACTTTAAATGTCACTCTCAATTACCCACTTAAATCTGCAGGGAATGGCTTCCACGAATCCGTAATGAAACATATCCTCGCTTCTTTCACCTAAATTTGACTTGTTTACACACCAATACCTGCTATTGACGTTCTTTCTTTGCCCTATACTTGAAAAGATATTTTCCATTTACTTCTATATTTTTTAAGACCTAGATACATTTTTCAAATTATAGCCAGTTTAACCTATTTTTGTCTTTTAAGTAGTTGAAATATCACAGCCCTTTTACTTTTCTCCCTCTTTGTCATTTCTGAAAACTGCCTGTAGAATGAGCCTTATTTTTGCTTCAATTACTTGCCACTGCATGTTCAAATAGCTTAGGGTGGGGTAGAAACAAGTGTCTTTGCCCATCACCGCTACTACTGAAGACATAATATGGATGTGTATAATGTTATGTTCATGGCAGTTCAAAAAGTTCAGCGCCCCATGGTGGCATTGACAGTCTCTTAAAACAACTGTAACTCCACTAACAAGCAATATCACAGATATACTTTAAAATTACACAGAACTTAAATTATTTTTAAAGGCCTCATGATGTATCAGCTTCTATATGTACCCAGCATTGTTTCTTTAACGAACATGGCTCCAAGAAGAACATTTTGAGGGACTGTGTTAATAAAACTAGTCATCATCTGAAACTACCCAGATGCTGACAAACTCCTACTGCTGAAAACAAACTAACCTAGTTCAGCCATTGTCTCATTCATTCATTCATTCATTCACATATTCATTTTTTCATTGATCACTCCTCCCAAGATATCTAGAATACCTAATGCCTACTCTGTACCAAGCACAATGCTACGTGATGATAAAATGCAAGTGATTTAGACACTGGGGCCACCATCATGAGACTCAGACCGACTCATCTGCTAAGACTTTGAGAAAATGACTTCCCTTTTGTGAAGGTTTAGTTTCCAAGCTGTAGGAAGTTGGACTAGATAATAACTAATAATTCTGAGAATTAAGGCTGGGTCCTATCAGCTTTACTCCAACATGGCAATTTCAGGTCACTGAAGAAACTAAAGAGAAGTCTTTAGATAGGCACTGCAAATATCATGTAAGGTGAACTTATGTACAATTAATAACAAAGAAAAATAAGCCATTTGAAGTTAACATTAGAAATCATTGCTATGATCACATCTAGTAAGAGCCCATTTTGCAGTTAACTCAGTCTAACAATGTGAAAATAATTTGCATCTAAAAATAGATACATATTAATTTTTTAAATAAGTGTGATATACTGAATGTAGATATTGGCATCAAGGATCTAATATTTCTAAATTTGAAACAATCTATTTGTAGTGCTTATGCTGGTTTTCTTCTTTCCCATCTCCCCATATCCCTGTCATTCCCAGAGTAACTTACACATCCTGCATGTGTACCTGTGTTTTTTGGACAAACTTCAATTAATGATGAAATCCTCCTCCGTGTGGAAACCTGTTCTCATTTTTCTCTTTTCCACATCTCAATAAGTAACCTTGCACAATCAATATCTCATAGGTCAAGCGGATTGCTTAGGAGTCTTTGTAACAAAGATATGCCTTTCATTGTTGTTGCTGTTTGGCTGTTGCTTTATTTTGGTGATGTGAACAAAAGGTCTGTTTTATAGAGTTTTGTTACCGCCCACTTTTTAAAATAATTTATGAAGAGGAATCCAATATAGCAATTAATATTATTATGTGGAGTATTTAATAAGTAGAACGCAATCCATTTTCTAAAAAGTAAAATAAATAAATAAATGTGTCTTTTACATTCTAGTGTCTGTGCCCCTGGTTGGTGAAATTTGTCTCTTTTTAGAATAAGAGATTTAAAAATTAGAATTATTGTACTTTACTACACTAGGAATTGAGAAAGCAGTATAACTAATTTTGAAAGTCTAATAATCAAGCTACAAGAGAAAATGTATCTGTTAACGAACACTTATTTTTTGATCTTCGTGTGCCTTACCATGTGTCAAGTGCCATGAGGATTCACCCAAACTTAGCACAATGCATTTGGTGTACAAAACAAAACCACATAAAATGTCATAGCTTTTGATGGCTTTTAAATGAAACTTAGTTTCAGCCCAGTTTAAAGATATTACAGAATGCTAGGGATAAAATGGGTTAAGATTTCCTGGCTTATATTATGAATGGTATTCTGGAAGACAATTACCACATGTTCTTGAAATCATGTCTATAAATATTTAATATCCATTTAAATTATGTATAGAAAATTATTTTGTTTATGTTTGAGACACTAAAAATTTCTTTCCCCTGAGTATATGTTTTACTTGTATGGTTTTACCATGTCTCTCTAGTAAACCACCGTTAATATTTTAAGCTATAGTGGGAAATAAAAACTAAGTATTTTGTGATTGTGATAACTATTTTTATATTATGCTTAACATTCCCTAACAGTAGATTTTCGTCTCCTAGCTTGTAACCTTAATCCTGTGTATTTGCACTTCTTTTGAATGACGTGTATGGTCAGACTAATGTCTTCAGCATTTAGGGCTCAATGATTCTTTCCCTTTTCTAGGGTACATTAATGAGGCTTTCCAGTGTTAAGTGGCTTAGGGTCCTGTGCCTTCTAGGAACACCACTGTCTTAACTGGCCAAATATAAAAATTAGGATTCAGTATCAATTTTTAAAATTTTTAAATTTACCAGTGTCCTCTGATCATTTGAAAATAAATCATACTTGTATCTCTTTACTATCTGGGGAAAAAAGGATGTTGTTAAGCTTCAGCTATGAAGGCGACATTCAGAAAGGAAGACTGTTTAAGATTTCAGTGATGCTAAACTATAATTTTGAAAAACGTGAGGAAAAGGAACAATGTGAATTAATGAAAAAACTTATCTATTTGATTTGATTCAATGAAATGATTTTTAAAAGAAAGTATGACAAATGGATTTAACAACTAACCTGTAGCAGAGATATGGAGAAAAGTATAGAATTAATATATCCAGTGATAATTTTTGATAAATATTACATCTTGCTTGTAAGATCAGGTATGTAATTATACCTGTGTTTCACTTTACCAAAAGATTCACATGAGAATAATATTAAATTCTGATGTTTTTCGTTGTATTTCACTAAACCAAATAGAATTGGGTTTCAAGCTACAAATATGTAGTGTGAGTATTTCTCAACATGTTTTTCATATTTTTATCTATATTTTTGTTATATAAACATAACCAGACATCTGGGTTTAATTCTTATATTGAACATTCTGGAATTGTAAAATATAATTTAACACACAATATTTTAAATAATATGATTTCTTTATGATTTGAAATATTTCTAAATATACGTGAGAGTTAATTTTGTAATGAATTTATAGCTAATAAATAATGAAAAAACTTACTTAATCCTACTTTTGGCCCTTATTGTTAGAGAACAGAGCAGCAAACCAAGAAAAAGTTTTCTGTATTCATTTCTTTTGTAGATTTTGTCACAGTAAAAAAAAAAAAAAAGCATGTCATTTACACATGTATGAAATAGCAGTATGACTACTAATGGAGGCATTTAGTCAACAGATACAGCCTGTGTCAGGCTCAGCTGAGGATATAAAGATGAAATATGTGTTAAAAATTAACTTGGCAGCTGGGCGCAGTGGCTCATGCCTGTAATCCAGCCCTTTGAGAGGTCGAGGCAGAAGGATCATGAGGTCAGGAGTTCAAGATCAGCAGGACCAAGATGGTGAAACCCCATCTCTACTAAAAATATAAAAATTAGCCGGGCACAGTGCCACCTGTAATCCCAGCTACTCGGGAGGCTGAGGCAGGAGAATTGCTTGAGCTCAGACGGCAGAGGTTGCAGTGAAATGAGATTGCACCACTGTACTTCAGCCTGGGTGATAAAGTGAGACTCTGTCTCAAACAAACACAAAAACTAACTTGGCTGTAAATGAGAGGAACATAATTTAAACATGCTTAATCAAAGCAAGGGTATAATTGGCTTTCCTCATCAATGTTTATATTTCCAGCATAGTTGGATAAAATGTCTGCAATCTGGTTCGGGATTTCTAGCAAGGCTATGATTAGGAATAGATTATTGAAAGATGTTAAGATAACACTCACCGCACAAAAGCATGACAGAAACCAACATGGGGCAAGGTAAACTTATAGAGCAATCGACATAAAATATTCTCTAGTTTTGTGACTTTCCACCTCAAGTGAATAAAACCTCAGTTAAATATTCCAGATTGATTTTAGTTATAGCATGAGGAATTATGAAAAGATTAGGGCATCTGCGTTTGAAAATTGTAAGCAGGATTATCTTGAGGACACTATATAGGTATATAGTCATATTTTCCTCAGGGAAAGATTAATATCAAGAGACAATGATTTGGGACTTGTATCTCAGGGCAGTAACCTGTATCTATATGGAGATTATCTTGTTATGAGTTATGGATAACCTGGATTTTATTTAGTTTTCTTACAGTATTTTTGTTTCTTTGTTTGTTTTTGGAGAAAACTATGAATAAACTTCACTCACTTTAATCCTTGAATAGGGATGTAATTGATATAGTTTATTTTAAACATGTTATCACAATGTGTTTCTTGTCTTTATTGCTATTTTAGAGACAAGTGTTCTAAGTGTTATATGGGTCACATTATAATAGTTGAAGCCCAAGACAAATCCTGGTACTGACATTAGGTCTAACACTCTTTCCACTATTGCTGTAGAACTTTCTCCTTTGTTCAGCTAAGACGAAGTTTTTGTCACACGAATAGGAAAGATTGGGCTCACAGATACACAGAAGTGTGAGGAACGAAATTTATTAGGCGAAAAGGAAAAAAGAAAAAATAACTTTCAGCAAAGAGTTCTTCTGGCAGGTTTCCTGCTTTACATATTGAAATCCCAGGTAACCACACGGAAACCAGAGAAGCCAGGCTCCTCACTCCTGCAAACAGTGCAAACTTCTTCCGGCTCTTCCCCACCCTCCCATACATGGGTGGGCATTATTTAGAAAGAATCAGTCGGGAAAGGGTAGGCTTCATCCAGAACCAGCAGCCCGGTTTTTCAGCCTTCAGGGTGTTTCAGGCTTGCAGGCAGTGTTTCACTGGGGACACGTGGCTGACTCCTGTCTCTCACTATCACACATAATGGCGATATTTGGCACTGGCCAAATATTGATACAGTCAACGGACTGTTAGAGACTATCACATACCTCAGAGATAGAAGTGTAAAGTATGGAAGAATTCTGAAACCTTTGCTTACTTTCTACAGTAGCGTATTCTGGTGCTCACGAATTCCATCATTCCTAACAGGGCTTGTTCACAAGAGACCTAATTCATCCTCTATCATTTCAAAAGAGGGAAGTGTATACATTGAAAACCATTTCAGAAACTTGGGGCGAGGAACGTGGGATGGAAAAGGTGGGCTGTCATGGTCAAAAGTATTAACATTCTTCTTAAACAAAAAAAAAAAGGGAAATAAATCTTTCTCAATTACTGCTACTAATATTAAAGCCTAAAGTAGCAGTGTATACATGATCCTTATGAAAGCCTATCTCTTCCTCTTTTAATACAGAAAATAAATTTTATTCCTGTTCAAGTACTAGCGTTACTCCTTCTGTTCTCATTCCTTTTTGGTATAATTCAAAGGGAAAATAAAGGGTGAATAGTCATATTTATAAGCTGACTCATTCTCCTAACACACTGGAGACAGTCTATCCTCACACTTTGGAAATCAGGGGTTAGAATATGACTGATGTTTTTGTTGTTGTTTCTTATGTCTATGCCAAGTTTATAATCTGAAATAATAAGGCATAGAAAGGGTGTTTCTAGGTAATTTCTCATTTCAAGAGAGTCTTCAATACTAAATGACTAGCCCCTCTGGGATGAGGCCCAACTATCTCAGGAGCTTTACAAAGATAATGTTCCCTCAGGGGCCTCCAGTTGCTGTGAGGTTGAAAGCAAGAAAAGCTCTGTAATGAGTATGCACTGAGAATTCAGAATCCTTTGTTATAATCAGGCAAAAGGCAAAACACATCTTCCTTTCATTTGCTCTCCCAGGATTTTCCATCTTCCAGAAGCCACAGAGTTATTCTTCTTCCACCCCTGGCCCACAGGGAGTCTTAGGTGGAACTTGGAAGTGGCATCTGCACAGTGCCACTTGGGCCCGCCCATTAATAGAACTGTGTGTGCACCCCAGGAATCTCAGCCTCTTTGGGGAATTAAAGCACCATATTGCCAGAGCCTTTACCTTTTCTTCCATTGTTTTTCAGAACCATGACTAGTCACACCTAGCCCAACCTGTTGTCCTCCTTCCAAATTTCTACAATAATTGTAAATTAATATACTGCTTCCTTTTGAAATGATAAAGAATGAATCAGGTTTCTTGGGAGCCATTCTGTTAACAACAATGGTAGTAAATCTGTCTGATGACCCAGAATAGCCCTGATGCATAGAAACATCCTTTCAATGACCTTGGAACGGGCTTCAAGAAGACTGTTTAATATGTATAGTAATTATTAGAATTTATATATGTCAGTTGATCAGATATAGAAATTCTCACTTCCCTTTCCTACAGTGCAGTGATATTATGGACAAAGAAAGACTGCAGTAAAAAAAAGTGGGTTCCTCCACTCATAACCGTCAACCCTAGAAATTAATTTGACTTTTCTTGGTCTCAGTGTATTTACCTGTAAAATGGAGATAATAATGGTTGCCCTATATGCTTACCAGTTTTGTGAGATAATCTTATAACTTTTAAGGACTGTGTATATGTTAATTTGTCATATAGCCTCAATCTTTGCCTTCACATACAGTAAAAATACATTTCAATTTAATTCTCAAGTGAAAAGCCTCACCTTTCATGAAATGCAACACTATTAAATCAGTTAGAGACTTTTACTGATTCGATTCAACAAATGCCCACTGTTTTTCTATTATCTTCAAAGTGAAATTTTATCTTCTAGGCACTATAGCTCATGTCTTAAAAGAGTTTACTTACTTTGGTAAGTAGAAGGAAACTGGGAAATAATTCATTGAAGGCATAATATCAGAAACATTCATTGGATATAAAGTTAGAATTGCAATAAGTAGAGGCTGAACAGCTCAACAGTGCAAAGTGTGGGGCCTGTGTAGGGAATGGTAACTTTTCCAACTGACTGCAGGGTAGTATTTTATAAAATGGTGTATATATCCTGGAAATTCAGCAGAAGCTTCTGTACAATGAAACACATAGCTTCTATGGATGTTTTATCAATAATAAAAGGGAGGAAGTTTATATCAAATCCAAAAGAGTAAAGACAATAGCTTAGATACG